ATCACGAATTTCAGAGAAAAAAAGCAAAACCGTACTTTTTGGCTGCATCCGCCATCTTGTTTGTTTGGGTAACGAACGGCGTGATTCTCCCCCGTGTGATAGTTAAAACAATTGACAAAGAAATTAGACAAATGCATCTGACAAAAAAATAAGGAGACCTAATATACTAAAATTAAAAAGATATTTGAATAAAAAAACGTGAGGATATATTATTTAAGGATGTTTTTTTTTTAAAGTTATATAAAAAATATAGTATTCTGTATCAAAGAAAACATTGTCCAGTCACTTTTATCATGCATATTATATATAAGATCTTTTTTTTTTAAATCAGAATAATGTAACATATCTGCTTCATGTCTATCATGTTCCATTAGTTCAACCTCCTTTTTTTCTCGCTTCATTTTCTTTCTTGTTTTGACTATATGTATCATATGTTCCGCTAAAAATATAAGTGTCTATAAATTTATGTCATGTTGACAAGTTATATTGTATCATTGTATATATGTGTTGTGTAGCAAGAAACATCATGTTTACGTTACCAAATAAAATATTTGTTAATCTTGAATCTTGATATTCTATAATAATCATGTTTTATAAATTGCATAATTTATTAATAAACGAATTAACATTTAAGCAATTTGTATCTTCATCCTTTTATTTCTGTTGGATTTTATCAACAAGTTTCTATTTACAGACAGCCAGGTTATAAATCTAGGGTAAATCTAAGATAATAAAATAAAGTCATTATATATAAATAATAATTGACATTTTATTTATGTTTACACCGGCGATAGAAACACCTATCAATACAATACAATACTCTTTATTGGTAAGCCAGGTTATAAACATGGTAACAACAGGACGATTTATCTAAAATATTAACAATATATGAGTTAGATTATATATAAGTTAGCTAGTTATCAATATAAGGTAAATGAGCATAATGTTGCAGGACAGAAAAATAAATACATTTATCTTACGCCCTCATAAAGCAATCGCAACTACTCGGCCTTTTCCGTCAGTCTTCGGATAAGGACCTCGAACACAGTAGTATGAATACACAGAACGGAAGCGGTATTTCGGTGTAGCCTACGCTAAGAAACTAAACATGTAAACAAATATTAATTTAATGCCGGGAGTTGTTGACAAGTTTATTTTCAATACATGTTGTAAAAGTCCAACTATAATAAGTGAATTCATAGGTACAAAAGCAAATATATCTATTATTATGGTTGTAGAAACCGAAAGTACAAAAAACAACCTGTTGACATTTAGTCAAGTTTCAAGATTTTTATTTCAACTAGGCCCATATAGGCATCAGTTTTAAACAGTGAAATTTCACAAACAAATAAGCATTAACAAAAAATAATACAGATGTGTAAATAAAGCTTGAGACAAAATAATTTGCATGATAAATACAAAAATAAGACTAGAGATACTTATGAATGACTTTACAAATGAGTAACTAGAATGAGATATAATGCAACCGCACAATGAAAGTTCCTGACCAAAATGCAAATGAAGTGATGCAGCGACATGGTGTAACCACAACATGTGGCCAATGAAGCCCCACATTGCAACCACACCACGCCGGTACAATTAGTTCCACAAAAATTAAATAGGAAGTGTCACAATGAGATTACAAATGTCATGAGACCTTAAAGATGAAAAAATAATAAAAATTAAATACATAAAAATAGATAAAGTAAATAATGAAAATCAAGACAATACTTGGCAATAGATACTGACTAGAAGGTGGTAAACATTATTTCACAATAGACATTATGCTTTGTGTAAAAACAGATAGTTTGATTAATACAGTTCTATCAGTATTTTGAAATAATTGCTGTAAATTAAACATGTTACCTCTTCGTAAATTAATGGGCAAGTACTTTCTACGATAAATGTTCAAATAAGGACACTGAAAAATGTAATGAAACTCATCACCTAATAAAGAATTATTTGGACAGAGATGGAATATTTAAATCAGACCCCAAATTTTTTAAAGACCCTTTTCAATGGGGGTTTTGGTTACAATTAAACCTCCCTGATAAGGCAGATTCTGGAAAAAGTTCAAATGGGGTTCAAAAAATGGGGTTTTAAAAATTCGTAAGTGATACATTTAAAATTTTAACCCTGTACACATTTGAAATTTGGTTTTTGATTTAGTTTTTGACAATTTTTAAAATAAAAAGGTGTAAACAGATGGTTTCCATGGGGTTTTGTTTATAATACCAGGCGTAAGAAAATGTTATAAATGACGTCTTTAGCGCCTTTTTATGAATAAATTTCAATCGAACTATGGGCCCTTTCTGTAAACTTCGGAAAAGGATCGCTTTCAAAATAAATGGCTTTATCATGTTTAAAACTCGGAAAATCGGAGAAGAAGTTTTACCCCGTGGTTTTCGATGTATAAGAAAAGGATTATGTAAAACGAAGTAAAATTTTTACATTAATTTTTTTCGGTAAAATTTTGCTGAAAAAAGTCTACAAAAATTTGAATTTAAAAAATGCCACTGATTTTAATTTTAAACAAAACCACTAAATGTAAGTTGGGTTTTTTAATTTTGGTCTTACAGTATTAAAATAACTTTAAAATAATATATTGTTTGTTTTTTGTCCCTATGAATTCTTATTTAGGTTGACTTTTACTACATAATTGGAAATAAATTTCCCGAAAAAATTTTTTTACAAATTTTACCGAGGAAAAAAAACCCATGTTTTTGTTTCTACTATTTTGTTCGATTTTCCGGCGGGGGCCGATTTTATTTGGGCCTAACAAAAAAAAAAACATGAATTATTTTTTTGTTTTTTAAATTTTGTTTTTTTTCAAAAAACCCCCATTTTCGGAAAAAACCATCTTTATGCTTTCAAATTGGAGGAAAAAAAATTAAAAACATTAAAGAAATTTAATGGTTAGAAATTGGAAAATAAAATACAAGAAGATATATTTAAAAGAGCTCAAACACGAGGCTTTCGGGTTTTTACAGGGGCGGCCTCTGAATAAAAATCAGATTCCCGTTTGTTATTTTTTTGTTTTTTTGTATCATAGTCAAACATAAAAACACGTTCCCTGTTGTCACAATATGAAACCCAAAAAAGAGTAACCAATGAGCGAGCATCTGAATATGATATTTCTATTACTGTCCCTTTCTCTGCCGTCACAATAAGTAAACCCCAGCAAAAATGAACCGATCAATGGGCATGCTCGGGAGTGCGGGTAACTTATACTAGCATCCCAGTTAACGCACTGTGCATGTGTTGTTGTACGATTTAACTCAGACACATTTTCAACAGATAGGTTCAAAAACTATGATACGACAGAAACAAATAAAATAAAAAGAGGGGGCGGGAGTGCTTCTTCTTCTTCTTCTTCTTATTATTATCATTATTCTTGTTGTTGCTGTTGTTAAAGCGACATTAAGGATATTTTTGAAATCAATGTCAAGTTGAGCTATATCTACTATACTATTCAAGCGATCGGGAATAATGTCACTTCATTCGTTTATCAATATAAAAATAAATAAATAAATAAATAAATAAATAAATAAATAAATAAATAAATAAATAAATAAATAAATAAATAAATAAGTAAGTAAGTAAGTAAGTAATAAATAAATAAATAAATAAATGAATGAATGAATGAATGAATGAATGAATGAATGAACGAACAAACGAACGAATGAATGAATAGAAAAAAATAAATAGTTAAATAGATAAATAAATAAAAAATAAATAACTATATAAATAGATAAATTATTGAATCAATTAATTATAATGATATTTACAATAAGTGTCACTAAATCATATTAAAAGATCTCTACTCAGGCCTTTCATTTTAATTGATATCATTTATTTGAAGAAAAAAAATAGATTTAATCATGCTGTTGTTGTATTTACTTTGACATGTACTCTTTTGTTAAAAAGGTGGTTAAAAAATCATATTGTTGGCACTTACTTGATAATTTGATTTAGACAGGTAAGAGGGCATTCCGAGCTTATGAATAAAGTAAAAGGATTTAACAAATTAAAGTAATTAGATATATCCGGTATGTAATTTCACATGTCCTATTGTTTCAGTAACCCCGTGTTCTATAAAAATTCTAATTTCTAGATATTTGATCAATATGGGCAACTGTAGGCAAGTATAAATAAACTCAAATACAACAATTTTTGATCATTACATTAAAAAAGTTGCATGATACATGATATGACACATGGTAAGAACATCATACCTAAATTGTCTGTAAAAACATCAAGAAGAAAATAAATTCAACTCGAAAATTAACAGAACAAGGGTAAATATATATCATAATTGCTTTATGATTAAGATTAAACGTTAAACTGTATCCGGATTTTATGTCATTAATAATTCTTATATATATATATAAATATATATACATGTATATTTTACTCTTTTTTTTTTTGGAAAAAAATATTCTTAATTAATAATATTTCTTCACTTAACTGTGTATACTCCTGTGTCCTGTTTTGGAATTAAGTATATTTTTAACGGATTTAATAGAACAATTCTCCGAGTATCCTTTAAATGAAGTCAGAACTTCATTAGTATAATAAGCATCATTCGAAATATGGAGCTAGTTTTGACATTTAACTTCAAATAATTGAAAGCTGAGACCATACATAAATAGTGGATAATAAATTATGTGTTTATCTTATAGGATTCAAGAACTGTATTGTCAAACAGAAACATGAGCAGGAGTACAGAACAAAGGCAGTTATTGAAATGTGATATCTGCGAATACAAAACTGTAAACAGAAGCCATTTAATAAGGCATACAAAAATGCATACTGACGGTAAAAAGATTCAATGCGATATTTGTAATAAACTGTTCTTATATAACACTGATCTTAAAACGCATATGGCAATACACACAGGAGAGAAGCATTATCAATGCGGGAAATGTGACAAAACCTTTGCAAATAAAAGTAGTCTTTTGACTCATATGGTTGTGCACACAGGAGAGAAGAATTTTAAATGTAAACTATGTGACAAAGCATTTGGTCGCAAGACCAATCTAAAAACACATATGGTTGTGCACACAGGAGAGAAGAATTTTAAATGTCAAATATGTGACAAGACATTTGCTCGTAAGTGTAATCTAAAAGATCATGTGATATTACATACAGGAGTAAAACATTATAAATGTGAAATATGTGACAAAGCCTTTTATCATATTTACAAACTAAAATCTCATATGAGAGTGCACACAGGAGAGAATAATTATAAATGTGAAATATGTGACAAAGCATTTGGTACAGCATATGGTTGTACACACAGGAGAGAAGAAATTCAAATGTGAAATATGTGACAAAGCATTTGGTCACAAGACCCGTCTTAAAACACATATGGCAGTGTACCCTGTGGAGAAGAATTAAATTTGTAAATTATTTGATAAAGGACATTCTCAAATGGATTTCTTAAAACTGATATGATAGCGTTCACAGACGAGAAGAATTGTTAATACGAAATTACGACAAAACATTGTAACACCGCACTTTGGGACCAAACGCACTTTTGGGGGTCAAAATCGCGAAATCGACACCAAAGTGCGTTAATATGCTACATATCAACGTATTTTGGGTTCCAGAGTTGTGAAGGTATCAATTTAGTTATCCTAATATACCGAGTTCTGGCTCTTGTTCGAGTTCCGACATTGAAATATTTATACATCATTGTGCAATTTTACTAAAAGCAATGTACATTCTGATATGTTTATTTCTTAGCGGTAAATGGTTTTGTTTTCAATTTTACCACTTTAAGTATCTAAATATAAATGACAACATAATAAACTTCTTAAGTACATGTATTATTTTACCATAAAATGTCGCGGGCAACATATAGAAATTGTTGGAAAAAGCCAAGAACATTTTGACTTGAGTGGCCGGTAGCGTCCATGTTTTGATAACACTTTATCCCTCGTTTGCCTATAAAAATCGAAGAACAGAAAGTTAATCGCAACATTTTTTTTGGAAGTGTTGTGAAATTATACAAAAAGCTGTGGAAAAAAATCAAAGGCTTTGACCTTTTGTTCCATAAGGTATCGCGACGAGATAACAAAAAATCAGACAGGACTCTTTAACATAAGGTACCAATCATGTTATTTTATGATAGTAACTTAACATAAGTAAATTTAAAGTTTTCTTTAATATGCTTTAATATGTCCACAACGACTTATTTTTATGTGTTGCCGTTTGGATGCCTTTCTGAGACAGAAAATAAACTGATAAGTACAATTCATTCTTTTTTTCGTGTTTTCCTTAAATTACTATACACGTGTTTGAAAAGTATTCATGCCATAATTGTACGTGCATTTATGTAAGTCTGCACTTATGATGGAAATATGTGTAACATGCAAATTCTACAATTATTGGCACATAAGTTAATGTGTAAGACTTAAATAACATGTTATTTAATGTATTATTACCCAAAATGCGCATCATACTTAATAAGTTACTTATTCATACTGAGAGGCCACCATACTTTGAAAGAAATACTATCACTAAAAAGATCACTATTGCCATAAACTACAAGATATTATTTTAAAATAAGTATAATTTTATGACCCTAAAGTGTGACGTCTTCCTGATGTTTAAGAATGCATATGTACATTTGTAACGCACTTTGGGGTTAAACTATAACACAATAGTGGGTAATGCACCTTGGGGTTGGACCCCAAATTGCGGTGTTACAAAGTTCCTCATATTGGTAATCATAAAACTTATATCGCAGTGCTCCAATAAGAGAAGATAAATAAATACAAAATTTGTGACAAGCATTTTTTAAAAGTAATAAACTAAACTAAAAGTTTTTGTTATTACACACGTATCAAGCACGTGGAAACCATTTCCTAATGGAATTTCTCTTAATTAAACATATACACAAAGAAGAGAAGTAAATTCCATGTCATTTGTTTAAACCATTTTCTTTAAGACGTAATCTTAAAGAACACGAGAGAGAAGAAAAACAGATGCGGAATATTTTCACAAAGTGTCATTGATTTTTGATATCGATCATGCTTATATCATGTACCGTAATTGATGTGTTTTGTAAATAACGATTGTTTTATAACCGTAAACTGTTGTATAAATGAGCCGCGCCACGACAAAACCAACATAGTGCGTTTGCGACCAGCATGGATCCAGAAAAGCCTGCGCATCCACGCAGTCTGATCAGGATCCATGATGTTTGCTTACCAACCCTATCACAAGTAAAGAAACTGATGGCGAACAGCATGGATCCTGATCAGACTGCGCGGATGCGCAGACTGGTCCGGATCCATGCTGGTTGCAAACGCACTATGTTGGTTTTGCCATGACGCGGCTCAGATGCAGTTCAAGATACATTTAAGACAGGCGTGCATTAATTGTTAACACGCTGGCGACATTTACTTTATCATAGAAAAATACATAAGGTATAATTAGCGCATAAGCTGGAAACGTTGTTTTGCTTAATTGTATTGAATGAATTCACCGCATTTGTAAATTGTGTATTTTAAATTGTGTTATTTTAATTTATTTAATCGGAGTATCATTTTTTTGCTTTGGTTGGAGTTTTTGTTTGAACTCTGTGTGTATTGTATTATTCCTTGATATTCCATAATTGTCATGTTTTATAAATTGTAAAAATTGCTAATAAACGAATTAACATTAAAGCAAATTGTTTCTTCATCCTTTTATTTCTGTTGGATTTTATCAACAAGTTTCTATTTACAGAAAATCGGTCATATCTAAAGATAATAGAATAATGCCATTAAGAACGGATACTGAGATAGGAAACCAGAAAATAATTGTTTTCCTACGTGTTTTGATTTATAATAGTGCAGGTAACTTGCTGGTACTGATTCCTGACGTGCTTTAATATAATAGGACAGGGAAGCAAAAGAACCTCCGATGAAGAGCAGGCAAATTTATTACCTTTGTAAGTACTTACATCAAAAGTTTTACAAACCATCACTTTCGTTACCGTAAATATAGCTTTGCGATCATGCCCTTAGGGACTGCTCTTTTGGCTTTCTATTCAGATATTCATGTTAACCTTGATACAGTGGTCATTTGTCTATAGCGGTCATCTAATTCAGTCTACTTGGTGACCATAGGCTTGTTAGAATGTATTGTATTCTTCAATATTTGAATTATTAACATACACCATATTTCAGGTAAATATTTCCAATTCAAATTGTATTTATTTTTCCAAGGTAAGTCTAGTACTTTTCCTCTATGTTTGCAAATATTGTGACATATATTTTGCTCAAAATATGACAGTTTGGTAACATTTTTGCAAGTATAACTAGAATTAATATGATATTAAATCCAACCTATGATGCTGAAAACCCTTTATGATTTATAACAAGCACAAATTTTTCAGTATAAAAACTAGATATTTCTTGAAATTCGTAAATAATAAGTAAATGCGTGAATCAGATACCAATGAATTGGTGGTGTTCAACCTATCATCGAAGTGTTCCGAGTGTTTCCGCCATTTTTGTTTCTCTCTAATCAGAATAATTATTTTTAAGTTATTTAAGCGTGAAAATTTATCAAAATGTATATTAAAAAGTAACTTTGGTTAATCATCGTTACTTCAGTTCTTATAAATAATCATTATATAATTTGTTTACTGATTTTTGCGACGGACGCGCCCTCAGGCGCGTTCAGAGCTAAGTCATCTACACATGGGATTTCGTTGGCTACAATCGCGCAATGTGTCCTAAACCAATTAACAGCCCAAGAAATAGTACATGAATTTGATCCTTCAAAACTCCCATACTTTGACTGGATATCTTAATGTCTTCCATATTTAGCCTTTTCAATTTCAAATTAAGTTATCCAAGTTAAAATATGAACGTATATTATTGATAAAAACGTTGTAGTCCCGTAGTATTATTGCGCAATATGCAAATTACTGCTGAAACGATTTACCGCTGTCGAAAAAGTAGGACAGCAAATTATACTACAATAAAGGTGTAACCTCTGAGTTCCAAGACATTATTAGAAGGAAATAAATTTTTCTACATTATACAAAACATTATTATTAACAAATCAAAAGTTTTTTCGTGACTCTAGGGTAACTCGCGCATTAATAAAAGAAGAACTATTTTCGTGACTCATACCGCGGGTTTAGCTGAATATTCAGCAGTTATTAATATATTAGATACATTACAATGGTTAGTATAAATATCTATTTTTGAAAATGCATGTAAGATTAGAGAGTTTTACAACACTTTACCGCCATGTAGTCTTTCATGGTAAGGAAGTTATAATATCAGTTCTACTTCCGATTCTTGTGGTTTGTTTACATATTTTTCTAGGTCATGATATGAGTTAGCCTTCGCTATTCTAAAAATAGATTCTGCTTCACCTGTTCTGATTTTTGGACATGCGATAAGGAAGTACACATTATACATTGTAATTAATAAACCAGCGGATTACATGCTTTTAGAAATTCTATACAATTGTAAGAAGCAAACAAGTTGAAAATGGAATTTAGTGTGAAATTGAAAAGGACAACTAAACACTGTAGTGCTTAAGTGACATTTAAATTAAAATAAAAACGATGTGCTCTGGTCTACATCTTTACCTTGTAAATAAAAAAAATCTAAGAAATACACTATTAATTGCTGATGATTTTAACCAAATTTTTTTTAATGAGACATATCCAAGAGAAATGAAAATACAAATGACTTATATTTTATTGTCTATATGCCCACTATGATATAACACGAATCAATTCTAAATAGAATTCTCAAATGTATAATGTATTATGTTTGAACTTTATTTGCCTGGATTTATTCTAAAAAATATTTCGTTGACAGTTTTTTTTTCTATTTACATATCATTTCTTAGAATAAATCGATAAGGATACTGATTTACAAGTTTGACCAGAGTTTTTAAGCATAAATTTCATTCTGTATTTAAGTGCTTGAAAGTAGAAAATCTGAATTATATCAGTTTGGGACACAAAATATATTGCTCTACAAATCTCGAACTTGTATGAAACAAATTTTCTCTGTTATATATTTTGTGTTTTGTTTTTGTTTTTGTTTTTTTGTTTTCTAAAAGAACCATTAATGTCTCTCCGGTTGCATGTCCGTCGCATTCAGTGCTGCAGCACTTTGATTCTACATGATACTTCTGCCGGAAGTGTAATATAGTATAGAACATTCGTTTTTTATTTTTCTTTAATGTCGAGCTTGGATGTGAAGATTCAGCTCAGCATTAAGCTTGATATTCGTTTTAATCATCTCTTTTGAATGTCGAGCTCGGATGTGAAGGTGGCTGGACATTCAGCACAACATTCAACTGGACATTCGTTTATGTCTCCTTTTTGAATGTCGAGCTGGGATGAGAATTTGCCACACATTCAGCAAACATTCAGCTCGACATTTCTTTTTTGTCTCTTTCTTTGAATGTGGAGCTGGGATGTGAATCTGGCTAAACATTTAACACAACATTCAGCTCCACATTCGTTGTGTTGCTCTTATACTGACTGAAGAGATAAATGAATCAAGAAATCATATCATGAAACGTATTCTGATCAAGACATACTGACTGAAGAGATAAATGAATCAAGAAATCATATCATGAAACGTATTCAGATCAAGACATACTGACTGAAGAGATAAATGAATCAAGAAATCATATCATGAAACGTATTCAGATCAAGACATACTGACTGAAGAGATAAATGAATCAAGAAATCATATCATGAAACGTATTCAGATCAAGACATACTGACTAAAGAGATAAATGAATCAAGAAATCATATCATGAAACGTATTCAGATCAAGACATACTGACTAAAGAGATAAATGAATCAAGAAATCATATCATGAAACGTATTCAGATCAAGACATACAGTAAAATCAAAGCAAACAACAAGAGCAAAAAGTAATAATAACAAACACATCGTTATTATGTCCATGTTTCTACAACTTATCATGTACATTATTTAAAAATCTTTGTTCAATGTGTTTGTATATCCATATGAGCCGCGCCATGACAAAACCAACGTAATGCGTTTGCGACCAGCATGGATCCAGACCAGCCTGCATCCGCGCAGTCTGATCAAGATCCATGCTGTTCGCTGTCAGTTTCTCCACTTGTAATAGAGATGGTAAGCGAACAGCATGGATCCTGATCAGACTGCGCGGAAGCGCAGGCTGGTCTGGATCCATGCTGGTCGCAAACCCACTATGTTGGTTTTGTCGTGACGCGGCTCATATAAATATGTTTATGTTAGTATCATCTTTAAATAGAGCTGCGTTTCCTGAGAGGCTGTGTATGATAACATTGTCGTCTTAACTATGTAACAGGAAAAAAACGGGGACCTTTAAGAGTGTCAAAAAGGGAAATTGAAATTGTTGCCTATATACTCAGTTTGATTGAGCCAATTCATAAACTCGAGGATATACGCCAACGTTTATGAATTATGTATGTGTGCGTTTATGCGTGTGTATACTGGGAGTGTGTCCGTGTGTGCATATGTATATATGTATTCTGTGTTTAATGATTGTTCATCCGCCCGTTAATTAAGCCACAAAAAGCAGCTTTCGCTGTCGAGTACGGACACCGGATATGTCACCAATCATGCCCTAAACGATTCATTTTGAAACACTAAGTGGTGATAATTTACCTCTATGCAAAGTCAAAGGAATATTCGCCCAAGATATGAATTTTGAGCCAATAGTAGGTCGGTCAATGTGAACATTAATGTACAGTTACCTGACACAATTTGAAAAAGGTAAACCTGAAAAGGAATGTTGGTTACAAGCAAAGACCCATTTTTCATTTTGTTATTCTCTAGTGCTGGTTAATAAATATGAGGTACTAGTATATTTAATGCTAGAAAAGATTGCAATGGACTGCTTTGTGTTTTGATGTTGCCGGTCACTCATGGGCAATAGTTTCGGTAATGCTGGTTCATATTTTCCTTGGAAAGAAAGAGAATAAGTAATAGTCTTAGGTCGTAAATAACCTGTCTATTATAAAGTGACCGTACAATATTAAATAATCTAACACTAATTCCCATTTTAATAAGTTAAACCCAAAGGCCGTTGCTGTATATTGAATCAAAACACTTTTGAAGATCAATAAAACAACAGAAGAGATTATCGCATGAAAAAGAAAAATACAATCAGCAGTAATAATAGTAATAATAATAATAATAATACATTTTGTAATAATAATAATAATTATAACAACAACAACAACAACATTATTATTATTATTATTATTATTATTATTATTATTATTATTATTATTATTATCATTATTATTATTATTATTATTATTATTATTATTATTATTATTATTATTGTTGTTGTTGTTATTAAAGCGACATTATGAATATTTTTGAAATCATTTTCAAGTTGAGCTATATCTACTATACTATTCAAACGATCGAGTATAATGTCACTTCATTCGTTTATAAATAAATAAATAAATAAATAAATAAATAAATAAATAAATAAATAAATAAATAAATAAATAAATAAATAAATAAATAAATAAGTAAGAAATAAATAAATAAATTGTAATGATAAATACAATAAGTGTCACAATATTATAAACTTATTAATAGATCCCTACTCTAGCCTTTCATCTAAATTGATAGCATTAATTTGAAGGAGAAACAATAGATTTAGTCATTAACATTGACATGTATTCTTTTGTAAACAAAAATGTGGTGACGAAATTCTTATTGTTGGCACTTACTTGATAATTTGATTGAGACAGGTAAGAAAGAACATGTCGAACTTTTATGAATAGAATACCTCCAAGTGTCAAGATTTAACAAATTAATGTAATTAGATATATCCGGTAAGCAATTTTACATTTTCCTTTTGCTTCATTAACCCCGTGTTCTATAAAAACGTCAATTTCTAAATATTTGATCATTACTTTAAAAAAGTTGCAAGATACATGATATGATACATGATAAGAGCGTTACACCTAAATTCGGAACTAAACAGAACAAGGGTAAATATATATCATGATTGCTTTATGGTTAAGAATTAACGTTAAATTGACAACTGTATCCGGATTTTTATATCATTGATAATTCTTTTCTATACATTTATATATATATTAGAGAAAAAGATCTTACTTAATAATATATCTTCACTTAACTGTGTATACACCTGTGTACATTTTTGGAATGAAGTATAGTTTTTTACGTAATTTAACGGATTTAATAGTACAATTCTCCGAGTATCCTTTAAATGAAGTTGGAACATTGGAACTTCATTAGTAAAATAAGCATCATTCGAAATATGGAGTTAGTTTTGACATTTAAGTTCCAATAATTGATTGAAAGCTGAGACAATACTTAAAATTAGAGTAACAATGCTAGACATTCAGAGTGGATTAAAATTTATTTGTTTATCTTAAAGGATTCAAGAACAGTCGTGTAACTTCATTAGTAAAATAAGCATCATTCAAAATATGGAGTAGATTTGACATTTAACTCCCAATAATTGAAAGCTTAGACCATATGTAAAGTTACATAAATAGTGGATTGAAATTTATTTGTCTTTCTTACAGGATTCAAGGACTGTACTGTCCAACAGAAACATGAGCAGGAGTACAGAACAAAAGCAGTTATTAAAATGCGATATATGCGAATACAAAACTGTAAACAAAAGCCTTTTAATAAGGCACACAAAAATGCATACTGACGGTAAAAAGATTCAATGCGATATTTGTAATAAACTGTTCTTATATAACAGTGATCTTAAAACGCATATGGCAATACACACAGGAGAGAAGCATTATAAATGTGAAACATGTGACAAAACCTTTGCTAATAAAAGTAACCTTTTGACTCATATGGTTGTGCACACAGGAGAGAAGAATTTTAAATGTGAAATATGTGACAAAGCATTTGGTCGCAATACCAATCTAAAAACACATATGGTTGTGCACACAGGAGAGAAGAATTTTAAATGCAAAATATGTGACAAAGCATTTGGTCACAATACCAATCTGAAAACACATATGGCAGTGCACACAGGAGAAAAGAATTATAAATGTGAAATATGTGACAAAGCATTTAATCAAAATAGCACTCTAAAATCTCATATGAGAGTGCACACAGGAGAGAAGAATTATAAATGCAAAATATGTGACAAAGCATTTGGTCACAATACCAATCTGAAAACACATATGGCAGTGCACACAGGAGAAAAGAATTATAAATGTGAAATATGTGACAAAGCATTTAATCAAAATAGCACTCTAACATCTCATATGAGAGTGCACACAGGAGAGAAGAATTATAAATGTGAAATATGTGACAAAGCATTTGGTCGTAAAGACCATCTGAAAAAACATATTACAGTGCACACTGGAGAGAAAAATTATAATTGTGAAATATGTGACAAAGCATTTGCTCAATTTACCAACTTAAAAATACATATGACAGTGCACACAGGAGAGAACAGTTATAACTGTGAAATATGTGACAAAGCCTTTCCTTATATTAGCACTCTAAAAGATCATATGATAATGCACACAGGAGAGAAGAATTTCAAATGTGAAATATGTGACAAAGCATTTGGTCGTAATTTCCAACTGAAAGCACATATGGTAGTGCACACAGGAGAGAAAAATTATAAATGTGAAATATGTGACAAAGCATTTGGTCGTAATTTCCAACTGAAAGCACATATGGTAGTGCACACAGGAGAGAAGAATTATAAATGTAAAATATGCGACAAAGCCTTTTATCAAAATTATAATCTAAAAACTCATATGATAGTACACACAGGAGAGAAGAACTATAAATGTGAAATATGTGACAAAGAATTTGCTTCAAAATCTTATCTTCAAATTCATTTAGAAGTACATTCAGGAGAGAAGAATTACAAATGCGAAATATGTGACAAAGCATTCGCTCATAGAAAATATCTAAGACTGCATATGGTTGTGCACACAGGAGAGAAAAATTATAAATGTGAAATATGTGACAAGACATTTGCTCATAAGAATAATCTTAAAGATCACGTGAAAGTACATACAGGAGTAAAAAATTATAAATGTGAAATATGTGACAAAGCCTTTAATCAAAATAGCGCTCTTAAATCTCATATGAGAGTGCACACAGGAGAGAAGAATTATAAATGTGAAATATGTGACAAAGCCTTTTCTCAAAATAGCACTCTAAAATGCCATATGAGAGTGCACACAGGAGAGAAGAATTATAAATGTGGAATATGTGACAAAGCCTTTTATCAAAATAGCGCTCTAAAATCTCATATGAGAGTGCACACAGGAGAGAAGAATTATAAGTGTGAAATATGTGACAAAGCATTTGGTCGCAATGACACTCTGAAAATACATATGACAGTGCACACAGGAGTGAAAAATTATAAATGTGACGTATGTGACAAAGCATTTGCTTGTAAAAGTAATCTTGTAGATCATATGGTTGTACACACAGGAGAGAAGAAATTCAAATGTGAAATATGTGACAAAGCATTTCGTCATAAGAACCGTCTAAAAACACATATGACAGTGCACACTGGAGAGAAGAATTTTTAATAAAGGACTTTCTGAAATGGATTTCTTAAAACCGATATGATCGCGCTCACAGACTAGAAGAATTATTTATACATAGTTTGTGACAAAGCATTGTAACACCGCACTTTGGGATAGAGTCAATATCGCGAAATCGTTAAGATGCTACATATCAACGTACTTTGGGTTCCAGAGTTCTGAAGGTGTCAATTTAGTTCTGCTTATATTCCGAGTACTGACTCTTGTTCGAGTTCCAACATTGAAATATTTGAGGTGGAGTTTAAGATGACGGTCGATACTTATATACATCACTGTGCAAACTTACAAAGAGCAATTGACATTCTGATATGTATGATTCTTAGTGGTTATTGTTGTTTGATTTTTCAATTTTACCGCCTGAAGTAAGACCTATACTTTGTCGAAGTGACATAAACCCCAAAAACAAACCACCTGAAGTATCTTAAAAGAAATGACCATATGATAAACTACTTAAGTACATGTGATGCCCGGTTGCGGCCATTTATCGTTTTATCAAAAAATTTCGCGGGCAACTTAAAGTAGTTGTTGGAGGAAACAGCCAAGAACATTTTACTTGAGTGGCCGGTAGCGTCCAACAAAAAGTTGTGGGAAAAATCAAAGGTCGTGACTTTTGTTCCATAAGGTATCGCGACGAGATAACAAAAAAATCAGACAGGACTCTTTAACATAAGGTACCAATCATGTTATTTTATGAAAGTAACTTAACATAAGTAAATTTAAAGTTTTCTTCAATATGCTTTAATATGTCCACAACGACTTATTTTTTATGTGTTGCCGTTTGGATGCCTTTCTGAGACAGAAAATAAACTGATATAAGTACAATTCATTTTTTTTCGTGTTTTCCTTAAATTACAATAAACGTGTTTGAAAAGTATTCATGCCATAATTGTACGTGCATTTATGTAAGTCTGCACTTATGATGGAAATATGTGTAACATGCAAATTCTACAATAATTATTATTGGCACATAAGTTAATGGGTAAGACTTAAATAATATGTTATCTAATGTATTATTACCCAAAATGCGCTTCATACATATTCATACTGTGAGGCCACCATACTTTGAAAGAAATACTTGAATATAAAACATGTAAATTGCAAATTATAACAAATTTAGATAATCTATCGTGTACTAAATACATTTCGCTTACTGTGTTCCTTATTTTAAGATCACTATTGCCATTAACTACAAGATATTATTTGAAGATCATTTAAGTCAAAGGATTTATTGAACTTCAAAATTTTATAGGCTAAATATGTAGTCACTGAAAAATTTTAAACAAATAAGAAAATATAATTCAACACCCTGATTAAAATTTTTATATTTTTTCCCCCCCAGAAAACTCAAGCACATTTTTTCATACAATTTGACCCATTTAATTATTGTTAATAAAGTGAAAGAAACTTGTAAGTAAAGGATAAGGTAAGGATTCTTGTAATGAAAAAGTTGGAATAATTGTGAAAATTATTCTGTAAAAAATCCCTTCGCAAATTATTTTGCACCTATAAATTTTATTGAATGACAAATTAATTCATTAAGTTAAAGCAGTTCATGTACACTGACATATTTACACAGAGAATTATTAAAAGTTAGAAATAATGAGATTATGATACTGAATCATAATGAAATCTTTGGATAATGCTGCTAACATTCCACATTAATTTACTTAAAATTTCATCATATCGATAGAACTTAATTGCAGCAATTTAAAATCTTATAATTTTTAATGAAAATTTTTAATTGTGTATAATTTATGTATTTAGTAATGAGAAATTCAAGCTTGCATATGTTTCAATCTGAAAACTTATTTACTTCACACTGTATCATAACTTTTACAAATATAAATTTTATTATTTAACTAATTTAAAAGAGTTTTGTAAATAATTTCATGTATAGAAAGGTACCGTTGGTATGACATTTTCTTTTTAACGTTAATGCATTATCTGGAAACAAAGATTCTTTTGTTTAATTAGCAATGTTTTTATTTTATTCCAAACATTTCAATGTTCATTCAAATGTAAGATAAATGGAAGAAAACTAAGTCAATGCAACTTTTCATTGTAAAACGCAAATAGTAAGATACAATTCATTTTTGGGTTATCTGACAAGAAATATACAAAAGAAAGTCCTATAATTTCTACTGTTTTATAAGAAATGTGTTTGCATATTTGATTTAAGTATGATTTGGTGTACCTATCCTTGTTTTATTTCTCTCTGTTTCTAACATGTTTGAAAATTTCATTTTTGTGAAAAATACTGAAAATTTGAAAGCGAATATTTTTATATCTAAGATGAATTTTCTGGATTTTTTTTGTAACATTAATCAGAACGCATAATATTTTAATAAAATAAAGAGAAATAATACAATTTTTATTATAAACTGTAAGATATTCAGACTTTCAGTATATCTTTGTTACATCCGTCCCCTACACACACAGTCCGCAAGAGATGTAATATTTTGAAAAAGTTATCCAAAAAGTTATCCTTTCTTTCCAAAAATATTGTCATAGACACCCTAAGGTACTTAAAAAGAGAAAATATTGTCTTGTATGTTTAACTTTATTTTTTGACTTAGATGCTTACACAATTGGCCCATTTACTGTGCAGCAGGCAATATGTACTAATCATTTATTGTCGTAGTTATCTCCCATTTACTCGTAAATCATAAGAAAAAAGTATGTTATCGGTTATTAAAGTCTCTCTTTAAATGCGTAATACAGATAACTTGCCAGATTATTAATTGTTTTGATATTTGTGCTTGTCATTAGTGTTTCGAATTTCTGCATTGAAGGCCATCTACAAAAATATGGTTTAAAAAAACTTTCTACGTAGATTGTATTATTTCGGGCATATTAATAAGAAATGATATTCTGTCTCTACTAAATTTAATGAACAATTTCGACATTTTCTGTTTTCTCTTGGAATATTATCGTGCCTTCCTTTTTCTATTTCGAGATTATGAGTCTAAATTTGGTTAAAATAATAATATGCTACATATCAACGCATTTTGGGTTCCAGACTTGTAAAGGTATCAATTTAGTTCTGCTTATATACCGAGTACTGACTCTTGTTCGAGTTCCGACATTGAAATATTTATACATCATTGTACAATCATACTAAGAGCAATTTACATTCTGATATGTTTGTTTCTTAGTGGTAAATGGTTTTTCTTTTTCAATTTTACCACTTTAAGTATCTAAAAAGAAATGACAATATAATAAACTTCTTAAGTACATGTATCGTTTTACATAAAATGTCGCGGGCAACATATAGAAATTGTTGGAAAAAGCCAAGAACATTTTGACTTGAGTGGCCGGTAGCGTCCATGGTTTGATAACACTTTATCCCTCGTTTGCCTATAAAAATCGAAGAGTAGAAAGTTAATTGCAACGTTATTTTTGGAAGTGTTGTGAAATTATACAAAAAGCTGTGGGGAAAATCAAAGAAAGGCTTTGACCTTTTGTTCTATAAGGTATCACGACGAAATAACAAAAAATCAGACAGGACTCTTTAACATAAGGTACCAATCATGTTATTTTATGATAGCATTAACATAAGTAAATTTAAAGTTTTCTTTAATATGCTTTAATATCTCTACAACGACTTGCTTTTAATGTATGGCCGTTTGGATGCCTTCCTGAGACAAAAATAAACTGATATGAGTACCATTTATTTTTTCGTGTTTTCCTTACATTACTATAAACGTGTTTGAAAAGTATTCATGCCATAATTGTACGTGCATTTATGTAAATCCGCACTTATGATAGAAATATGTGTCACATGCAAATTCTACAATTATTGGCACATAAGTTAATGGGTAATATTTAAATAACATGTTATCTAATGTATTATTACCCAAAATGCGCATCATACTTAATAAGTTACTTATTCATACTGAGAGGCCACCATACTTTGAAAGAAATACTATCACTAAAAAGATCACTATTGCCATTAACTACAAGATATTATTTTAAAATAAGTATAATTTTATGACCCCAAAGTGTGACGTACCTGATGTTTAAGAATGCATATGTACATTTGTAACGCACTTTGGGGTTAAACTATAACACAATAGTGGGTAATGCACCTTGGGATTGGACCCCAAATTGCGGTGTTACAAAGTTCCTCATATTGGTAATCATAAAACTTATATCGCAGTGCTCCAAAGAGAGAAAATAAATAAATACAACATTTGTGACAAACATTCTTTTAAAGTAATGATTTAAACTAAAAGTTTTTGTTATTACACACGTATCAAGCACGTGGAAACCATTTCCTAATGGAATTTCTCTTAAACATATATATACAAAGAAGAGAAGTAAATTCCATGTCATTTGTTTAAACCATTTTCTTTAAGACGAAAAACAGATGCGGAATATTTTCACAAAGTGTAATTGATTTTTTATATCGATCATGCTTATATCATGTACCGTAATTGATGTATTGTGTAAATAACGATTGTATTATTACAGAATACTGATGTTTTAATGAGCCGCGCCTCGACAAAACCAACATAGTGCGTTTGCGACCAACATGGATCCAGAAAAGCCTGCGCATCCACACAGTCTATTCAGGATCCATGATGTTTGATTACCAACCCTATCACAAGTAAAGAAACTGATGGCGAACAGCGTGGATCCTGATCAGACTGCGCAGATGCGCAGACTGGTCTGGATCCATGCTGGTCGCAAACGCACTATGTTGGTTTTGCCATGACGCGGCTCAGATGCAGTTCAAGATACATTTAAGACAGGCGTGCATTAATTGTTAACACGCTGGCGACATTTACTTTATCATACAAAATACATAAGGTATAATTAGCGCATAAGCTGGAAACGTTGTTTTGCTTA